AAAAAAAAAAAAAAAAAAAAAAAAAAAAAAAGAAGTCCCATGTCTGAAGTGCCACTTGCCTTGGACAAGGATGTAATTTAGGCAGAAAGGAGGAATTTGGGGGCAGATTAGCTCTGAAAACAATTCTACTTAATCAGAAGTCCATGTCCTGTGGAGTGAGAGAAATCTGTCTATGTTCATCCTGCAGGCACACAACCCACAGCTGTGAGGTCTTCAGGTCTCAGGAAGCATAGGGCAGGGGATGAGCACACAGCCCCAATCTTTTCTCTCCCGACACCACAGCCATGCCCCACAGGGCTCCGTGGTCCTCATATGCCTCCCTGGGAGTGACCAGGAGAGACTATTTACTTTAAATTTGGAAAAGGGCTGATACATGGGACTTCCTTAATCTGGGAAAAGTGTGTGTGTGGCTGAGTTAGTCCCAATGTACCTAGGAAACAAATATTGTCAGGGACAAGAAAATGCTGTTGTGTATTCCCAAAAGTTGACTTGTAGGACCTCAGTACTTCTGAAGGAACAAAAATAAATGCATCTATAGCTGCCATGTACACACACTCAAAGGTTAGATAAAACATCAATTTTGGGACAAAAGCAATAATTTCATTGTCATATTAAAGAGATTGACTCAGGGAGGTGGGGATGAGTGGGAATGAGATTATGAAGGGATCTGATGCTGGCCTAACATCTGGTAACCATCCTCCCTAGAGATGAATCCCTAGGGAATGGAAACTACAAGAACTTGTCATTTTCTCTGAAAACCTAACATGAAGACGGAGTTAAGACCTGAGAAGCCAAAGGGAGAGATCAGGAAGGTGAGGAATGCAGCAGCAGAGAAAAAAAGAAGAATGGCATGAGGGGGATTGTCAGTGAGAATCTGTAGTAATTCTTACCAAATTATGTTGGCTGGTTCAGAGAAAGAGAAAATTGTATCTCTGACCAGGGTGAGTAACAACATATCAGCTAAGAATGTGTCACGGGTAACATAAGATTCATAGTTTATAGCATAAGATTTATGGTGCACATAACTGACTTGATTATAAGTTTTAGTACCACACAATTGTATTTTGTGATAACAGAAAATCTACGAGGTCTGACAATAAAGTTCTTGTTGCAATGATGTTGCTAGGCTTTTTTTATATTACAGGGTTATTCATTATGAATTTGTACTAGCTGGACAAACAGGTAACCAATTTTACTATTTGGAAGTGCTGAGAAGACTGTGTGAAAAAGTTAGATGACTTGAACTTTTCACCAACAATTCATGGCTCTTGCATCATAACAATGCACCACCTCACATGGCACTGTCTGTGAGGGAGTTCTTAGCCAGTAAACAAATAATTGTATTAGAACACCCTTCCTACTCACATGATCTGGCCCCCAGTGACTTCTTTTTTTACCCAGAGATAAAGGAAGTATTGTATGGAAGACATTTTGATGACATTCAGGACATCATTGGAAATAACGATATCTCTTTGATGGGCACTCCAGAAAAAGAGTTCCAACATTGCTTTCAAGGGTGGATTAGGTCTTAGCATTGATACATAGCTTCCCAAGGGGAGTACTTCGAAGGTGACTGTAGTAATATTCAGCAATGACTTAGGTAGCATTTTTTCTAGGATGAGTTAGTGAACTTAATTATCAGACCTCATATACTGGTCTTTGCCCTCAGTTCCTGGCGCAGAGTTCCTGGAACCCTTGTAACATCATGGGTGACAGGAGTGTCTTTTGTTCTACCAATGTGATTGTGTGGCCTCCTGGATGAGGGCTTGCCACCTGGAAATATCAGGTCATGATAGAAACTAGGAATTTTCAGCCCTATCCCCCACTCTCTTGAGAAAGGACAAGGCCTAAGAGTGGAGTTAATAATTAATCATCCTAAGTGAAGAATCCTAACTTAAAATCCTAAAAGTACAGGATTTGGGGAGCATCTTAGTTGACCAACACATCCACACCATGACAGTGATACACCCTAACTCCACAGCACAGACCCTCCCAGACTTCACCCCAGGTTTGTCTTCATCTGGCTGTTCACCTGTATCCTTTACCACACCCTTTAATAAAGTGGTAAACGTATGTGTTTCCCAGAGTTCTGTGAGATGCCCCAGCAAATTAATTGAATCCAAAGAGGGGATCATGGGAATTTCCATTTGTAGCCATATCAGCAGAAGTCTTGGGAACACTGGGAATCTCCTACTTGTGTTTGGCATCTGAAGTGAGGGTGGTCTTGTGGGACTGAGCCCTTAACCTGTGGATCTGACACTGTGCCTAAGCAGATGGTGTTAGAATTGAGGTAAATTGTAGGATGCCCAGCTGGTGTCTCAGAAAATTGCTTGTTGTGGAGAAAAATCCCCACACATTCAGTGACCAGAAGTGTCAGAAGTGAAGTGTTGTGTGTGAGTAGTAAAGGAGACACAACAGGAGGGAAAAACAAAGGTTTTATTTTAATATATAAAAAATATTTGTATTGTTGATTTATGCCAAACCCTACAGGGATCAGCCTGTGAGTTCTTGGGACACCCTGTGCTGTCCCAGGTAACAGACATCAGTGTGTTAGTCTTTCCTCCTCAAGGACATCTGACCACAGAGGAATTTCTCCTTCAGGTGTCTCCACAGAAGCTTCTCAATAGAAAGTCTCAGAGCACAGATCTGTAGGCTCAGGGTTATTGTCTCACTTCCTCATCATCTGAGTCACTGTGAGTAACTATAGCTGCTCCCACTGCCATGATATATAGCACAGTAATAGTCAGCCTCATCCTCAGGCTGCAGCCCAGAGATGAGCAAATACGCTGCATTGGCTGAGGTGTCTTTGGATCCAGAGACTCGACTGGGGACCCCAGGTCCCAGCTTCTTGCCTGAGTCTGAGTAGTAGTATAGGAAAAAGTGGGGAGGGCCCCCTGCTTTTTGCTGGTACCAGTACATGTTATAGCTGCCAACATTGATGTCCCTGCTCAAGGAGCAGGAGAGTCTGGCTGTTGATCCCGGAGATGCAGAGAGGGAGGCCGGCTGAGTCAGCACAGGCTGGGAGAGGGAACCTGCAAACACAGACACAGACATCTCAGTGAACAGAAGAGACAGGGTGCAGCTACCCTGGGTCTCTGAGGCCTGTCCCTACCTGTGCAGTGAGAGAGGAGCACGAGGAGGACCGGGATCCAGGCCATGGTGCACACAGCCCCTTCTTAGGCCACAGAGCTGAGACTGGGCTGCCCAGGCTGCTCTTATCCCCTCCCAGCTGGCCTTACAGAGGAGGAGCAGCTTATGAAAATATGTCCCCGCCCCTTGCTTTTTCCCCAAGTACTCTGACAGGGTCTTGGGCCCTTGCACAGGGAGGCAGCCTGATGCACTAGTGTCCCCCATGGGTGAGGCTCAGAGAAATCAGCTGCTGGGACCACACACAGGCCACGTCCAGGGGACTTGGCCAGGTACAGAGAGGACATGCATGCTCAGTCCCCACAGGAAGCAAAGGGCCCAGCCCTGGACCTACTGTCAGTGGAGGGCTGCCCGTGTGGGAGCACCTGTCCAGCAGAAACTCCCAGAGATAGTATCACAGCGCCACCTGCTGGTCAAGAGGCGAACACCTCTTTTTTTTCAGAAGGCTCAAACACTTCACCTACACGTGTTTCCTTGACTCATGTTTTTCCAGCACCTGAGAATGATCACTACAGTGGTCGGTGCAGGTCGGTCCTGGTGTGCCTGTCACTGAGTGCAAACTCTTCCGTGGGTGTTGGTCCAGAGTGGGGTACATGTGAAACCCTGACCCATGAGAGTAAGGGAACTGGGGTGGAGCAGAGTGGATCTGTCCCTGCGGGGGGCTCAGAGCAGGGGACTTGCTCTGGAAGCTGAGTGTGAACAGGAGCGCATTGGGGACTCAGCCCCCAAAGAGGAGGACCTAGCAGGTGGGGGATGCTTGCCCTTCCAGAGCTTGTTAGAGTGGAGATTGCACACTCATGACACTGCTGTGGGGCATGGCGATGGAGCAGGGCCTGGGCATCAAGAAGGGCTCCTGAGGGACCGGACTGCATCCTCTCCTCCGTGTGCTGGGACAGACTGTGCCTGTTGTCAGTGCTGCAGATGAGAGACACAGCTCCGTGGGAAGTGTGAGGGCAGAACTTGGGACAGAACTTGACAGGCATACCTGATGTCTTATGCCTGCCTATGTCCAGGACACTTATAATCATAAAAGGCACCGAGGAAGCATGAAACTGGCATGGAACGTCAGGAAAGAAAGTGACAGGAGATATGGTCATCCCAGTGAGATGCGACATTAGGCTCTCCTTTCATCCCCATTGTCTCCAACCCCCAGCCTTGGCAAAGCTGCAGAGTTCTAAGACTGGGAGAAAGGAACACAGATTCACAAGTCAGTTCTCAGGGCACACTTGAAGGCTGCTGTCAATACGATAGCCACGTAGGTGGCCCTGCTTGTGCCTGGACAGGGGATGGCAGGACCAGGCAAGCTAGGGGGGACAGGGAGAGGTGCTCACCTTCCAGTCCCCTCCAAGGATTAGGAGGCACAGGGCTCTCCAGCAGCCCCTCCTCACTTCATAATGTAACAACTTGGTATTGGGGGTGGGGTACTTGTTAACATTAAATAGAGCAGCATATAAAATTAGCCTTGTAAGTTGTGGGGGTTTTTGTTCCACAAGAATGAAATATTACAGCATTTTGACCCATCAAAACAGAAAACAGCCCCACAAATCTGCAAATCAGAAAAAAAAAAAAAAAGAACTGAGAGAACTTGGGGAGAGACCTAGCAAAGGGGTAGTCAGGGCGGCTGGAGGAAGATGACAGTAGAGGACACAGGGAAGGAGTGGAATGACATATGTACAGGGGTGGGACACTGGGAGGTGACCAACTGGCCCCAGGCTGGGGGAGTGGAAGCGATGGTCCAGAGGTCAGGTGGATAGAGGTTGTCCTTGAGAAAGGCAGGGAGGTCCCACTGACACAGGTGAGTTCAGATTAAGAGGAAATGTGAGGGGCTGCATGATGGCTTTGTGGGACATTTGTCACATTGAGACCATGAATGAAAGTGTGGCAACATGTGAAAAAAATTCAGAGAAAATCAGAGACATGGGGTCTTGTGTGCCAACGCTATAGGAAGAATACAGGTGTGAAAAGTAACCACTTGTCAGGGGACTTAAAATGTGCCATTTATTCATTCATTCATACATTCATTCTGCAAATAGATAACTAAGGATAGCCTCACATGCATCAGGCATGGGGACATGAAGGACAGGCAAGAACAGGGCCTGGATCACTGGAGCAGAAGAAACCAGGCACAAGAGTGGTGATAGAGATGGCTTTAGAGGGTCCTCAGTCATGAAAACTTCCTGGTGTCTCAAAGTTGGGTCAACTGGTAAGACTGGGTGTCTTACAAACCTCCCTGCAAGCACAGAGCTAGGTCTGGGAGATGGTGTCTCTGTGGCTGCAGGGTCCTACAGTGGCTCAGGCCCCAAACTCTAAGACACCCCAGCTTTGACTCCATGTGGGTCCAGTTGGAGAAGGAGGCAGAGAGGAGGAGGGCGCAGGCCCTGTTCTGAGGGCGTGACACAGCAGCTAGGGCCACTGTGCAGGCCCTGGAAGTGCAGTCCTCAGATCTCCCTCCAGGAGACCCTACAGGGAGCATAGGTTACCTATGGCCCCCTGCCCCTGGAGCTGCTCTAAGCAAGGGCTGGATCAGTGTGTAACTAGAGCCCAGCCTTTCTGGCTGGGAGCAGGGACCTCTAAAGGGCACCCCATGTGCAGGACCCATCCAGCCTGCCTGAGACTCTCTGCAGACCTGTTCTCTGAGGCTCTTCTTACCCCATCCTTCCTTCTCTCATTTTTCAGGGGAACAGCCCTGTCTATAAAGGCTTCATTTCTTCCCCAGCTCTTTCCTGTTTATCTTTCCCAGTGTTCCCTGCCCCCAAATCACTTGTCTAATCATTTTTGTCACCTACTTCTCAGATGGTCCATAATCAAATAGCTTTCAGTTGAAAGGGAAAAATAATCCAAGAGGAAAACACATGGCTAGTTTTGCTGACTGATACAGTGACTGAATTTTACAATATCCACATTCACATGCACACAAACATATGTATTATACACTCCAGACTCAGGACTGAGGTGGTATCCCTTATATGAACTCTTAGATCAGGGTCAAGTCCAGAGCAATAACGGGCCCAATGGTGTTGGGAGCCGGCTGCACCTCAGTGTCTGACATGGCCAAGTGCACTGCTATTGTGACAAATTCTGAAGCTCTGACTGAGAAACAGATACTGCTTTATATCTTAGAAGATTTAAATTCCCCTTTGGATGCCCCCCAGTAGGATGAAGATCTTACACCCCTTCTGATGGATATATCACAATAATCCTATTTTATATACTAAAGGCAATTTTAGTCACACTGCTAGTTTTTTTAGTAATGGTCAAAATATGCACTCTGTGGTCTTGAGATCCTGCTTAACTAATAGTGCTTAAGGTAATTGCTGTGTAGCCATGGTAACCATTCCTTAGGCGATTATGCAGAGACTCAACCCTAGTCACATAGCCATTAGGTAAAGGTCAAAACACAGTTAAGATAAGTTAGTCTGTAGCATAAGAAAAGGTCAAGCTGTGCCCTGTAGAAAAAAAAATAGCCTGTGGGAAAGTGGGCCCCTGAAAAAGGTATCGAAACTGAAAGCAAGTTGCTGATGAGGTCAGGGTCAACTGTCTGGTATAAAAAGGGACATGCTGTAAAAATAAAGAGAGACACTTCTTCTTGACAGTGCCCCTGTGTCTCCGCGCGTCTTTCTTCTTTTTTCTCGCCGACGCTGTCTCCACCTGAGGGAACCCCTGGACCTGTGGGAGCTGGTCTCCCGCACAATGGAGATATGTCCCCTTCTGTGCAGGAAACGGGTTTTTTCCTTGTGTGTGATTCCTCCCTGGTGCCCAGAGCTTTCTTCCTTGTGGATCCCCCATGGCCTTGAGGACAAAGGGGGTTCTTCACTCTGGGGATGGGGAGGTTGTGGGGAGGAAGCCCCCATGTGTATTCCTCATGGTGATGTGGCAGTGGGCCCTAGACAAAGGCCCACTTTGTCTAGGGCCCAGAGTATGTGGTCACTAAGGATTTTGCGCGGGCTTCAGACAAAGACATTCCTGGACTGTATGGTCAGCAAGACCTCCGCGTTTAATATTTCCAAATTCCTACCTCACCCAGGAGCCAGTCAGGAACTGGCACAATGACGACATGTTCTAATAATAAATCTTAGCTGCCAACCTGGAAACTTCAGGGTATATAACCCCGAGTCCTGCCTGAATCAGGGCTCAGCCTCTGGATGTGAATCCGCTGAGCCAGTGCCAGCATTAGTAAAAGTTGCTTCCCACGCCTTGGTGTCCTGTCTCTTTGTTTGGGTTCCCCGCAACAGTGATGCTGTGTAAATTTTTATTTTGTGTCTATATTCCCACACACTTGAACATGACCTGCACCCACGTAGTTTTTTACAGAGTGACTCACCCCTAGGAATCCATTCTCCAAGTACAGGTAACAGGTCAGCTGGGAACCATGAAATATTATGTTCTTTGGAACATTTTACTTAAAATTTTTATTTGATTTGAGCACTCTTTCCCCTGGAAAGCCTGATTTGTGGTAGGTATTAGGATCAAGTATTGCAAATAGACAGTTTGAAAAAAAAAAAAAACATGGTTCATGCTTAAAATGAATGTTGTGGGAGCTGTTTAAAAGTCAGAAAAATTTGTGCTTTCTTATCTGAAAATATATGCACTATGCATCATGATTGTGACAGAAAGATCAACTTCAGCCGTAAAACAAACACAAAACAGAAGATCTTCGAATCTATTTACCATCTTAAAAATAAGAAAATGAAATGAACAGATGGTTTTATAGGACTAGAAAAATGCTGGAAGGCCATGCACCAGACTCACTTGATTTTACTTTGGGGAGTGGCTTACGGTGGAAAAACCACCTGACTATAAGTCTGGCATGTTCTGTGTGTGAGAAAGTCACAATGTGGTTGCATTACTTTGATATTTTAAATGCACCAAAAAATTTAAATGGATTAGTGAAAATATAAGATTGTTACATAAAATTAGTCTATGACTTTGATTGAATGAAAACCTATGTTTTGTTTTAATTTTTTGTTCACAAGGGAACCTGTCTAAAACATAGTTTTCTTCATAAGCTTTTTTCTTTTTAAAATAATTTTTAGGGCCAGCCGAGTGGTGTGTTGGGTAAGAGTTGACTTGGGATGCCAGTTCTGAGCAGCAGAGACCTGGTTCGAATGTGGGAAATGCATGTGTTTATGTTTATGAGGATATATATAGATAGATGCCCAATCTGAAACCAAACACCAATAATCGGGATCCAGGCCTTTACCATAGAAAGTGGGTTTCATTGTGGGGTTTCCATAGTGTT